GGGGATGCCGGCGGAGCCGCGGGCCGAGGCAGATCACTGCGGTGGTAGGTACCCGGTAGGAGCGCGCGGCCACGCGGGCCGCGTCGACGTCCGAGGGCTCGGCCCAGAAGCACTCTTCGGCCGTGGCGCCAGCGTCTTGGGCAAAGATCAGGGCATTGTGCTGGCACTGGTTGGCCTGGTCGAAATGGTGCTGAAGGGCCGCCACCGCCTGCTCCGGCAGTGCGGCCTGCAGGTGGACGGCCGAGTCTGACCCGTCACGCGGGTAGGCCGGCAAGCCGAAGCAGGCATACACGGCATCGACCTCGTCCAAATGGGCACGAGCCATGCGAGCCTGGACCAGGGCCCGATCGAGGGCAATGCGCGAGTGGAGGGACTTGAACACACGGCGTGGGGCTGGGCGGTGGGGCTTCAGCGGGATGTAGTCCACCCGCGAGGCGGGGGGAATCCCGGGCACCGGTTGATCGAGTTCGGCGTCCTCGGTTTGGAGCTGTTCCTCCGACAGGTGGATGGCATGCTCGATGACATGCGCCGCATCGTCAAGCCGCCCGGAGTCGTGGAGAATCTGGCAGGGCAAGTCAGCACGGGGCCCAGGCAAGGGAGCCCGCGAAAGGGGGCGGGCGCGGGGGCGGGGAATGAAGAGGTAGCCAGACATACCGCGCTATAGTGGAAGTAAAGGAGTGGGGTGTCGTAAATGAGCAGGGCCCGGCGGAGGAAGACCAGGGCCGAGGAGCGCTGGCGGCGCCGAGCGTGCACCATGGCCATGGAGTACCTGCAAAGGGGGACAGAGCACGCGGTTGGTCACGGGCGGAGGGGTGGCAGGGGAGCAAAAAAAAAAAAAAAAAAAACCCCGGGAGGAGGGTGGGGGAAGGAGGCCCAACAAGGGGGCGTTCACCGTGGCATGACACGCACCAGGCCACAAAGTGCAAGGGGTCCAGGCTGACTGCCCGCTCGTAGGCAGTGCACGCCTCATCCAGCCGGCCCTGGTCACGGAGCTCATGCCCGAGCATGGTCCAGGCGTAGGGGCTCTCGGGGGACAGACGAACCGCCCGCACAAGGGCCCGGCGGGAGGCCTGCCGGCGGCCGCCCATGGCTGCGAGGGCCGCCCCGGCAGCGGCCCACGTCTCGGCCGCCTGGGGCTCGATGCGGGCCAGCATCCGGGACAGGTGCGACAGGGAGCGCGGGCGGCGGAGGACCAGCAGCGCCGAGGCATATTGATCCATGCCGGTCAAGCGCCAGGGGTAAAGCGCCCGTAGCCGGCCGAAGTGCTGGGCGGCCGTGGAGTAGTCCGCGCGCGCCAGGGCCGCGAAGCACAGGAGATCCAGCAGGTAGGGGACGCGCGCGCGGTGGACGCTCGGCGGCAGGGCCGCATGTGCGAGAGACAGCTCCGGGATGTTGTACCGTCGCCGGGCTTGTTCGCAGCGTTTCAACGCCCGCAATAGCCGACCGGCGTGGATGCTGGGGGTCTGGCGGATTGCTTTGGTGTCAGTGTCGGTCATGGGCTCCGAGCCGGCGCCCGTCTTTCGTTGCGGACCGGAGACGCAAGGGGAGAAGGAGCGAGGAGGGGGGGGGGGCGAGGGGGGAAGAACAGGAGGGCCGCATACCTGAGGGTTGGTCAGGCTATCTTCCGGGCCATCGCGCGGAGGGGTGCCTGTGGCTGCCATTTCGCCGGGGTGTTGCCGGGCGTCCGTTTCCGAGTCATCGTCTGGTAGCCCGTCTGGGTGGGAAAGGAGGGCGACGATCGGGGAGCGAGGGCCGAGGAATTCGTGCGTGTGGGCGTGTGAGAGGCGG